CTGCGGCCCCGGGGCGCCGAGCGGGTGACGGGCGCGGGGAGCTGCGAGCGCAGCCATGCCCCAGGCCACCTCCCGGGTAGCAGCAGCGGCAGCAGGGGCCGAGGCGCTGGCCGGGGGCGCTGGGGGACCGGGGGCGGCCCGGGCGGGAAGATGAAGCGGCAGAACGTGCGCACGCTGGCTCTCATCGTGTGCACCTTCACCTACCTGCTGGTGGGCGCCGCGGTCTTCGACGCGCTCGAGTCGGAGCCCGAGATCACCGAGAGGCGGTTGCTGGAGCGGCGGCAGCAGGAACTGCGGGCGCGCTACAACCTCAGCCAGGGCGGCTATGAGGAGCTCGAGGGCGTCGTGCTGCGCCTCAAGCCGCACAAGGCCGGCTTGCAGTGGCGCTTCGCTGGCTCCTTCTACTTCGCCATCACTGTCATCACCACAATCGGTAACTACTGGCCCGGCGAAGGGCGGGGGAGGGGCCCCCGGGGCTGGGTGTCCGGTCTCCGGTTATTCTGGATCGGGTTGAGGCAGGGGGTTTTACCCCAGAGAGGGTTCAGGCCCCGAACCCTGCGCTCCCAAGAAACCCTAGTTCAGCCTGATGTGTCCGCTCCGCGGGGACAGGACGCCGGAGAAGCGTCGATTCCTGGCTCCGGACCTGACTTTTCGGCCGGGCCAGCCCTAACTTGTGTCCGTGCCAGGCTACACGAGGCCCCTGGGGACTCCGAAGTGTGTGAGAGGGGCAGGAACGACCGGAGGAGGCTCGGAGAGGAGGGGTGTGGCCGGACAAGGCCCTCGGGCTGGGCGCTGAGTGTGAGCCGGCGGGGAGCGCTAGGCTCTGCTGTGTCCCTGCGGGTGGGCTTCCCAGCACAGCGTGTATACACACCCGCTGGGACTCTAGGGCGGCATGTGGATGCTGGTACGCGTCACTCGAAGCACTCTGGGATTCTCTGCGTACCTGAAACAACCTATAACTGAGGCTGTGAGTGTTTTTTTTGTGTGTGTATGTGGGGGGGCGCTTACGTGTGTGTGTGTGTGTGTGTGTGTGTGTGTGTGTGTGGTGTCTGTGTCCAGTGCCAGGAGTTCAGCTTCGCCAGCCAGTGCCTATAATTTTCTTAGGGTAGAAGACCTGGTGCTGATGCCAGAATCCATCCTTATTGGCCTTTTTCTCTGCTGTCCTAGCAAAACAGTCACCTCACAGGAATAGCCTCAGTTCTCTTCTCTGAGCTAGGGCAGACCATGGTGTAGGAAGCCACACGTGCACCCAGATTCTCTCTCAACACAGGCACAGGCACACACAAAGCTCTCACACAAATACCCTGGCCCATATGGGCATACACCATTGTACATATATGCATATGTTGGGGAAAGAAATCTCCATGGGGCCCTTGCTAGATCCTCCATCCGGATGGGCAATCAGAGGGACCCTAAAGAGGAGAGGGAGCCTACAGCCAGAGGGTGATACCCCAACTCTGGTCACCAAGAACATTCCTGCAGCCCTCTTCTCCACTACAAGTGAAAGCCCCTCTGCTCCATTCTAGAGTAGAGGTGGAGGTTCTGTTTCAATTATGGTATTCAAAGGTGTTCAGACAGGAGGAAACACTTTCTTCATCTCTGCCTCCCATACTAATGCAACAAGACCCTATGATTCCAGTGTGGCTCCATCATTGCCCCTACTATATGAACGTGGGCAAGTCTCTTCCCCTGCCTAGGTCTCAGGCCTCACCTCCAGACAATAAGGCATTGACTGAAATGATTTCAAGGGCTCCTCCTAGCCCTGACATGCTAGGCTTCTGGGATTGGAAGCTCACCTTCTCATGAAGCCTATTGGGATGCCTCCAGGAGCTCTTTTCCCCACCTTCTCCATTCCTTGTCCTCTCCTGGTCCCCTTCTCCTTGCCTTGGCTGAGCTTCCAGAGGGTCATTGCCATTTGGTGAGGCCCACGGCAAGATCGCAGTGTTTTCCTGGGACTCAACAGGAGTGGAGGGGATAAAAGGCAGCACTGAATACTGTGCCCACAGTATGTCCACTGAAAGATTCTGCCTGAGGCTCCACTGGTCTCGGGCACCAAGAGAAGATATGCTTTGTGATTTCTGGAGGTACCTCTGGGCCCTGCTGACCCCATGGGTTTAGGGCAGATGGTCAGACCCAGACCTGCCCAAAAGGTGTCTGTTTCCCTGAGGAAGATCAGACCAGGTGTGTGATCTGGGGTCTTCTTCCCTCTCCACACTCTCCTACCACATGCCAGTTTCAGTAGCTGTTCGGCTCTCTGGGAATCAGATTGAACATCCTTAAACCTTCCCTCTCCCTCTTCCCACACATCAAGTCCTTGCTTGGGCACCTTCTTCCTTCTCAGTTCCATGGTCTCCAGCTCCACAGTAACCTCCCAAATGACCTCCTTGCCTCCAGCCTTCTTCTCTCATGGGGCCAGCTGTCCTGGAGGATGCTATACCAGAAAGAATCTCCCCAAGTACAGCTCTGACCATACCAATCCCCTTCTCAGAAGTCTGAAATTGTTCCCCACTATCTACAGAATCTAGTCTATGTTTCTTATGCCAAGTTGCAAGGTCCTCCATGCCTGGCTTCAACCTCTATGGGTCCTCCATGCCTGGCTTCAACCCTTATGTCTAACTTCATTTCTCACTTCTTACTTACATGAGCCCGTTACTACTGCCAGAATGTCTCCTCCAAACACCCCAGGTCTGCCTGTCTGACACACCTTTTTTCCCTGTCTTCTTTTTATCTGGCTCACCTCCAATCCCACCTCTTCCTTGAAGCCTCCCAGACTATCACAGGCCACTGCTCTGGATTAACTGCAGGACTTACTGTCAGAATGACGTGGTGACACAGTGTAGGTATTTTGAATGGTTATTTACATTTTAGGGGATGTGCTTTGTCTTTTTAACCACATTGTAATTAATGCCCACCTGATCAAGGCCTTGTGGTTCCCATTCCTGCCCTTCCAGTGGCAGCACAGTAGGCAGTGGCACTAAGAGAATGCTAGTGAGGGTTTCCAGGTGTGCAGAAATGAAAGGGCATTGTCCTTTCCCTCCATCCCTGCCACTTCCCAAAGTGCTTGTAGTCCTCACCAAGCAAGACACTCTAAAAGCTGGAGGTGAAAGGCATGCAGAGTGTGGTCTGGTGATTATTTATTTATAAAGTGCTGGGCAAAAGGAAAGACAGCATCAGAGCACTGCCCCAGTTCTGTGAGGGTCCCAGACTGCACTGCCCACTCCCTGCCCCACCCAACCATCCTGGCAGTTTATAACCTCCCAGGCCCTGCTGCTCTAGCTAGGCCTCTTGGTGGAATGCGGCACCCAGGGCTCTTCTCTAGGAAAAGCCTATCTAGTCCGTGAGTAGATGGTTGAAGGGGTCCTGTATTAGATTGGCCCTGACCCAAAACCCAAGGGCTGCAGCCTCTGACTACTTGACCCTTTTAGGAACCTGAATGAATCAACTTCTGAGACACGGGGAATCCCATCAGGATGGGATAGTCATGAAACCTCCCATTCATTTCATCTTGTCTCTTGTCAACTTCACAACTCTGAAGTTGTGAACTTGCCAGGGTAGGTACTGCTGGTTATACTTTGTAGATGAAGGAGTGGCGGTTCAGAGAGGGGAAGAGATTCCCCCAAAGTCACTAGCTAGGTAACAGCAGAGTTGGAGCTAGAACCTGGGTCTTTTGACTCCAAGCCCAATCTCTCTCTCTCTCTCTCTCTCTCTCTCTGCTGGTCTCTTGGCTGCATCCTTTGCCTCCATATGCTGTGAGGCCTAGACCCAGCCGGGCCTTGCCTTTGCCAAGATGTGTTGTTCAGTGATGCTGGCTTGCAGGGCACTCGTGTGTAGCCCTGATTGGCAGATGGTTGTCAGGGTCTGAGTTAGCCATTCACCTGGTTAGTCACAGTCCCCACTGGCTACAAGGATTCCTCCAGCTTCCTCATCCCTGGTCTCCTAGCCAAGAAACCCTTCCTCCGTGTGCCCTAAGTTCATCAAATGCAAATAGAAACTCTTTTCTCAGAAAGCCTTAACCTTTCTAGCTGTTGAGTCATTAAACTCCTCCAGGGCCCCAGCCCCAGCTATTCATAGCCCAGAGGCTGTCAGAGCAGGAAGGGGCCTCAGTGATCAGCTGGTACCACCGCTTCCTCTTACAGATAAGAATGGGCCCCAGAGAGGTGATGGGAGTCACACAGCCAAAGGGTAGCAGATCTGATTCCCATGCTACCACTCCTTCCACTTGTTCTCGATGCCCCTTTATTTATTATTTTGATTAACAACAGCAGCAGCAACAGCAATAATAATGGCAGCCACCATTTATTATCTACTCTTGGATAGACTCTATACCAGCCACTTTATATGTTCTCCTCATTTAATTCTCTCATTGACCCTTCAAGAAAACCATTATCCCAAGTTTTCATCTGAAGACCCTAAGGTTCTGAGAGTATAAATGACTCACCCAAGGCCTTATGGCTTGAAAGTGTGCCACATGCCCATAGTGCACTGTACCCTCTGACTCTCATGATGTGGCTGTGGCTTTCTTGCTAGTTCTCTCTCTAGTTTAAGAACTCGGCCCACATCTCAAGGGTACTGAGTAGCCAAGGCTTGCCTTTTCACTGGCAAAGCTCTCCCCAGAAAGAGAGGGCCTCTTGTCCCAGCACACTACAGTGAGGCTACTGCCACCCCCAATCTAGTCTCTGAACAAACCAGACCAAGTGCCACAGGCGTTTCCTTCCCGTCTCAGGCTCTCCCTGAGACTGCCACAACTCACAGGTGCCCGTTCTCCCACTGCAGGCCCTGGGCATCCTTGTGGCTCTTAGGCAATAGGCAGACTGGGTGATTGATAAGCTGATGGAACAGGGGCAGGAAACCCTCTGTTGTGCTCTGTTCTCAGGTTCCACCTTGTGCTCAGCCGAGCACAGCTTCCTACTGTGGGGCTTGAGAACCCTAAGACTGTGAACTCAAGCAGGTGACTCATGAGGGAATCTGTGCTTTTTGCATCTTTACAAGAAGAAGAAGAATACAGAAGAGACTTATCACCCCCCAAATCCCAGAGTCCTAAAATAAAAAAGTGAAAGGAAGCATTAGCATTCATCCCATACAACCTATTCAGGCCCAGAGAGGTGAGTGGTTTGCCCGAGGTCACACAGCAAGTGGAGGGAACAACCTTGATTAGAACCCAAGTCTTTGGGTCACCCAAGCTTGTTCCCTCATGACCTGCCATCTCTTTTAGCATTGAGACCTTGCGCTGCTTATCACTCCCACTGTTCTTGTGACCTCCTGAACAGGGTTAAAGGGCAGTCCGGCCTAGAAAGTCCCTGTGCCCATTCATAGTCACGATGTGCTCCCTTCCCACTACCAGGCTGGCCCTCTGCTTTGGTGTCACAGCTTCCCTGCAGGGAGCAGGAGCACTGGCTTGGAAGCTGAAGTGCCTGGATTCATCTCTCAATCCCC